TCTCATCGTTTTACTGTTGAAATATGTAGATCTAACAGCACGTTCTATTCTAATAGTTTCTTTTCTCGCACTTCTAGCTTGTGGTACGGTTTCTTCCCTGCCTGTCACCTACGTTCTTCAAAACTATAAACGCAACATCAGTCGCCATCTTCTGCCGTCTTGTTTTTTTTATTGCCCTTTCTACACACAGACGCTTTCTAATCTTCTTTCACACTCAGTAACACGTTGCGTCTTAGTGGCAGTATCACCTTGATTGGGGTGGAATGATTAAAAAAAAGCAGACGAGAATAGAACGCTAGAATTAATGACAAAGAATGTGAAGAGAAGCCGGAAAAAGAAGACAAAATCAAGTATATATGAAATTAACTGGAATTATGTATTTTTTTCCCTAAAAGTTATCCAATTATTTCTTTTATTCTGCAGCGAATAGACACAAGTGTCTGTCGTTATGCGTTATCATTGAATTAAAAAACAAAAACAAAAAGAAAATAGTAATGCATATTTTTCAGCGAATCGCAGACGTGTTATATTAGAACGTTCAGTCGACATATTGAGCAAACAATTTTTGTTGCTTTTTTACAATTTTACTCAACACTAAAAACTGCTTAACGACTTTTGGCATTAGATGTTGAGAATTTTGAAGAAAAAAAGAAGCAGTCGGTGCAAATGGAGATTTTATTTATTTTATTTCTCTAAGAAACACATTATTTTCTCACCCTCCCGCACCCTGCAGGATTTTCAAAGTGACGAATAAAAGAGTCCTATTAAAGACACCCACTCATCTCTACATGCAAATGAAGAATTATGTGAAATTATATTGAGTTTATGAAGACTAAAAGAGCACACCGAACTAAAGAATCTTCAAATCATGAATGAAAGAATCTTTATGTACATATTACAAGGAAGTATATATTACCTATTGCTGATATCTAACTATCTACTGCCTCTTGAGTTTGTCTGAAGACAGAATACAGCAGTCTCTTATTTTTTGCATGGTTGGACGGGTCCTACTAAAATCAATTATCTTGTGTATTTTGTTATGTTTTACTTTATCCTCTGGTTCATTCGCACCCCCTCCCTCATTGATTACCATCAGGAAATTTTATATATAATTGTATACTCAAGAATTTTTATCTCATCGGATGTTTAGTAGGTACCCTCTGTGTGCGTGTGCGTGCGTGCGTGCGTGCGTGCGTGTGTGTGTGTGTGCGGTATTGTGGTAGATGCAGGACTGAATGATGACGTACGAGTCTTTGTGGTAGATGTGGAAATTGTAATGAATGAATGGGTCGTGAATCTGATTAGCTAGGTATAATATAGTGTCGACCAGTCTCGACCCATTCACACTTTAAGCCTTGGCTCACAATTGTTACATATTTATACGCAATAAATCAATGATATCTAATTATCTACAATGTTTTGTAGTGTAATGTATTGTCCCACAGTCCCTATCGTCTATGTGGACTGACTATATCAGTAGCCATAGATAATGAGCACAGGATACACCTGATGGCTTCCTTCGGGAATCAGTTGGAGATTCGTCTTCAGCCATGATAGTCGAATTCGCTGACTTCGGGCAGAGAGGAACCAGACGAGGCTATGCCAATGGGCAGAGTCTCGTCTGGTGTTGTAGACAGTTACCCGACCCCGTTTTTCTACGGGGTCTACAGGGAATTTTTGTCTGACCTACAGTTTTGCCCAGCATTAAAAATCGGCTAAGGTTTTTAGAAAAAAAATAAACAAAACAAAACAAACTATTCCGTCGTCCATGCATTAAATATTTCTGACACATCTGCTCTGGTACTTTTATTACGCATTTAGAAATTCTTGATAAAATCCAAAGAAGAATCTGTAATGTTATTGGCCTTGATATAGCATTTCACCTTTAGTCATTTTCCTACCACCGTAACGTATTTTCCCTGGGTATTTTTTTTATAAATCCTTTCATGGTAACTATTCCGAGGCCTTGGTTTTACAGATTTCAAGTGTAGTATTCGATTAACAGTTAAATGTCATCGTTTTACAGTTGGAATTGCTATATTCCCGGCAGTTATATACCAGCGGTTTCTTATCTCACAGTTTGTGTAAATCTCTTCCGGTCTCTTGTTTGTCAATGAACTTGGATCGTTAAACCTTTAAATGCAATGCCAATCGTTAACGTCCCTCTTCTTAATTCCTGTTCCTTTATTGTTCTCTCCCCTAAATATTTTTAAATATTATTTCGCACTCAGTATACCCTAGTCTCTTAGTAGCTTCATTTCCTTACTTGGAGTGAAATAGTTAAAAAAAAAATGTATCTAGTCAGACTGGCTTGCTTACCATTAAAACATGTCGAAATGTTCACCTCGTTATTTTTAAATCCCGCTCTAATTATCACTCTTTCTCTCTCTCTTTCTCTCTCTCTCTCTCTTACACACACATATGCACACACACACACACACACACACATATATATATATATATATATATATATATATATATATATGTATATGTGTGTATTTAGGCAGCAATCCTTCTTTCATGCATATTTCATTCAATACGAACGACAAGGTGATTTAATTTAGTTTTTTTTTATACAATTTCTCATACGATCTAATACTTTTTTTTCTCGGATGATATAAAAACTGTCCAATTCTTCTTTTTATCCGAGCGCTTTCGGCTATACATTTAGCCATTTCAAAAGCTGAAATATATTAACTGTTAACAAGAAAATGTTTGTTTTATGTATTTATTTATATAATGTTTTCATTTTCAAAACTGTCAAGATATTGTGTCCATCTCCCCTTGGACAGTTTTTATATAATTCATCATGCGAAAAGAAAAAAAAATTAGATCACATGTAAAATTTTAGAAAAAAACTAAATCAAAGCATCTTGTCTGTAGTATTCAAGGAAATGTGCATATATATATATATATATATATATATATATATATATATATATATATATATATATATATATATATATATGTGTGTGTGTTTCATTAAAGACGACAGACAAGGTACTGCGATTATTTAATTTTTTCTTGTGTTCGAACAAGTGTTTTCATTTTAGGACACAGAGTGTGTAGAAACGGTCGAAATGTTTTATAATTCCGAGCGCTTTCGGCTATACTTTTAGCCATTATTAAGGATGATTTTCTTTTTTTTATTTTCAAAAGAACACGGCAGAATTCATCTTATCGACTAGTCTTACTTAAAGAACTCAATTATTTAAAACAGACACCAATTGACAATGGTTTTCCTAATCATCTTATAGACCACCAAATTTAACTATTTTTCTCCAAAGTAAATAACAACAATAGTAAACACAAAGTGAAAAGAATACCATATTTTCTACAAAAACCAAATGCACATTAACTACAAACAAGTTGCATCTTCACTTAGAAATATTATAAAGAAATGCACTACTCCAATTGACCCGAATAAAAAAAATCAAATTAATTATCTACTATAAAAATTTTATAACAGCTAACCTTATCCTAAAAAATAACAACACACCAGCAAAGTCAAAATTACAACGAACGAAGATTAACTATGGGTGCAAATGCCCCTTTCAGGAACGATGTTCCTGATCAAACCGAATTCATAAATAATTACATCGGTCATACAACCACATGCCTATCCAGTCGCCTTAAAGTATCACCTATCTGGCCACAGCTCTATTAGAACCCATTTAAAGACACACACAAACTTACCAGACTCCATCCGAAACATACTAGTAGAAAATACAAACATAATAACCACATTCACATTTTTAAAAAAAAGATAAAAAATAACGGAAGCCTTAATAATAAAAAAGAAAAAAAGCCAACACTTAATAATATTAACTGCGAACACTAAAATAAAACATCTCTATAACACTAAAAATATACACACAACGCACACACCCAATTAAATTGAAAAAAAAAAAGATTATCCTTGATAATAGCTAAAAGTATAGACGAAATCGTTCGGAATTATAGAAAATTTGAACAGTTTTTACACATCCTTCGTCCCAAAAAAGTAAAACACTTGTTCGAACACGAGAACAATTAAATAAAAAGCTTAATCGTAGTACCTTGTCTGTCGTTTTTAATGAAATATAAATAAATGAAGGATTGTTGTCAAAATACACAATATATATATATATATATATATATATATATATATATATATATATATATAGAGAGAGAGAGAGAGAGAGAGAGAGGAGGGAGGTGAGAATCGGAAAATAGCGCTTAGCCTTTGTCGACGGGCTTCGTCATCCGACTTTCTCAAGGCAAGTGATGATAAACAAAAGTGAAATGTTGTACAGTTATTCGAAAGTCAAAATTTTTTGAAAGACGCTCCTGTTAATTAATATTCAAAAAGAAACTTAAACAACCAGCTCTTATAACCTTCTAAAAAAACACCCATAATTCAATGCAGACAAATAAACTACTTAGACTTCGTCATTGGTATATTCAATCAAAGTCGTTACAAACCAACTGCTTCAATATATCCAACTGCAAACTATTGACAGAACAACAATGAACACTATCTAAAAGACTGACATCGAATGAAAGGTAAACAGACGAATTTCACGTCAGAAGTAGCATTGTGTTGCGAGCATAGTTTTATTTAACTTTATTTATTTTGGATATTGACGAGATCCATCTTAATGCCTGTTGAACTGTGAACTGGAGCTAATGTTAAACAATTCCACTGTTGACGTCATTGTGGCATAAGCAACTAAAAGTAAAATAAAAAGGAAAACCAAAAAAGAAAACCAAAAAAAAAAAACGTAAAATTGTCACAGATATTAAGTAGATTTATGTTATGCCGTATTTAAGAATTCTATCAAAGTTTGCATATTTTGAAATGTCTTTTGTTGTTATTTATTAATCGAAAGTATGAAATAAATAAGTAAACATTTAAGCAACTTGATAAATACTTTTGCATAAAAAGTGAACATGCGTACTCATCAAAGTCCTTAGAAATATTATCTGTCTATCTGTCTATATTTGTTTATATTTTACAGTGTTGTTCGAACTCCGAGTTTTATCTATCTATCTATCTATCTATCTATCTATCTATCTATCTATCTATCTATCTATCTGTGTACATCTCATCTTTCTATCTTATTATCTATCGGTGTAGAGCTCATTTTTATATCTGATTATCGGTTTAGATCTCATCTTTGGAGATTTGATCTATCTATCTGTATACATATCTATCTATCTATCTATCTGCTGAGATCTCATTTTTGGAGAGCTGATCTATCTGTGGAGATCTCATCTATCTATCTATCTATCTATGGAGATCTCACCTTTCTTTTTAATTATCTATCTGTTGAGATCTCTTCGTTGGAGATCTGATCTATCTGTAAATATCTTATCTATCTATCTATCTATCTATCTATCTATCTATCTATCTATCTATCTATCTATCTCTGTTTAAATATATTTCCCTTTTTTCATATGTATGTATATGTGTATGTATGTATCTGATACCCGGGTTCGAATCTCACCATGGTCGATTTGTGAGGAAGAAGGCTTCCTGATGTTATCGGAATGGATCGAGGTCGATCCCATCGAGCGGCACCTTTGTAAAGTCCCTGAAAAACCAGACCAAGGGTTGACCCTAGCCTTGTGAATGAAATTGGATAGACAGAATTCTTGAGGGTCGTCGATAGCTGTGCTAGCATAAAGCAACAACTCATCGTGGCCGAGTGATTGAGGGAGCTAGCCTTGTTCAGATTGTTGATCACACTAGATAAGTTGCAGTATAAAACACAGTTGGGCTTTGTGGGTGCTGAGCAAACACAAATGTGCCTGAACGAGGTTCTGCAAATAAGGATTGGTTAGTCACCATAGTAGAGGAGTATCCTCAAATACGAGTGGCCATCTATCTATCTATCTATCTATCTATCTATCTATCTACCGAATTCTATGTGTGCAACGACGAAGTTCTACAGACAACGGCAATAAAATGACGCTTATAATAAACATCAAGTATAGACAGTTGAATATTCTGAGGCACATATCTATCTATCTATCGATCTATATATATATATATATATATATATATATATATATATATATATATATATATATATGTATATTTCGGTTTGTTCTTATAATATCATCCTCTTTTAATATCTATCTATCTATCTATCTATCTATCTATCTATCTGGTTGCTCAGATCTTAACAAACTAGCATTCTTTTTTCGCTCTATTTTTTTTTTTACTAATCTCGGGGTCAACCAGTCTCTTTCTTCCATTCTGTCTATCTATCTAGGGATGTTTGTTCATACTTTACAGTATCTATCTATCTATCTATCTATCTATCTATCTATCTATCTAATTCTATGTGCGCAACGACGAATTTCTACAGACAACGGCAATAAAATGACGCTTATAATAAACATCAAGTATAGGCAGTTGAATATTCTAGGGCACCTATCTACCTATCTATCTATCTATTTCAGTCTGTTCAGTCATATATTTCCCTCTTTTCATATTTATCTATTTAGTTGCACTGATCTTAATAAACTAACATACTTTATATATATATATATATATATATATATATATATATATATTATATATATATATATATATATATATATATAATATATATATATATATATATATATATATATATATATATATATATATATATATATATATATATATATATATATATATATATATATATATATATATATATATATTACTAATCTCGCGGCCCAACCCGTCTCCTTCTTTCAATCCAAAACGCTCCCAACATTCTTCTGGGCGATCTGAACGGATCACACCGATATTCCAAACTCTGTTGCCGATTTCAAGTTGCCTCATTCTTTGTGACATTTCGCTGGTCTTCATCCACTTCTCCAAACCCATTCTTCTCATTATCAAATTTACATCAACTTCACTAAAATGTCAAGTTGAAGTCTGCAACGTTGTATGCCCTTGTTTGTGGCCAATTAAGCATGAGAAATGTGCCTGCTTATCTTAATCTGGGGAGACGGTTAACTTGGCGAATTAGGGGCGGGGGCAGAAATTTTGCATGTTCTCTTGGGATCAGGTTGTTCAGAAATTTGCGACATTACCATTAATTCAGATCTGAATCTACCCTTTTCATGTGTCATTGAGAATACAATTGTTTGTTTGAGCATTTCATTTGTTTTTGTATTTGCGTCTTATGAATCCGCTAGCAGTATAACCCTTCATCGCCCGGGTGTTTCATTACTGGGAATTTTTGCCGTTCAATTGGAGTAGTTTAAGTTTAAAGTCAGCCCACCCGAAAATCAATCTTAGTAACAACACTTGGGTGCAACTGGGGCACATCCCTAAATCGGGTGTTAACAATTTGAAGGGTGAGTTGTCATAATAATAATCGATAATTTTATTAATAATATAATTTTTTTTTTATAATTCTAATAATCTTTTGCGTTAGATTTCAACTCTCTAAAGTGATTGTACGTTGTTTTTTACAGACATTAAATTTTGCCTTTGAGTTTTTCGCAAAGTGTAAAAAATCAGTTTTTTTCGATTTTTCACCTTCAAGGTTGTATTTTTTTCCCAGCCAATTTGGACTCAAAACCAACACTGAAGAATTATCAAACAAAAAAAAAACACATTTCTTGGAAATCGGATGAAAACTGTGGAAGCGCATGAACCACATCCGATCACACACACACACACACACATACATTGAGTCAATTGCTTCGTCCACCGCAAAGAAAGTTGGCTCCCTGTGCCGCGCCAGGAAATTTTTCTCCCGGGAATCGATCCTCCAGATCTACAAATCAACAATTCGCCCTTGCATGGAGTATTGCTGCCATATATGGTCTGGAGCCCCTTCTGTTTGCCTCGGGGTTCTTGATAGGCTCCAGAGACGGATATGCAATATAATTGGCCCTGATCTCGCATCTCGTCTACAGTCACTTTCTCACAGACGCGCCGTTGCCTCTCTCTGTCTGTTTTACAAATACTTTCATGGCAATTGCTCGCAGGAGCTGCATTCGCTGGTTCCCAGACTTCATGAGTTCAAGCGCCCGACGAGGCTGTCATCCCGCTCTCACCCTTTCACTGTCGAAACTACTAAATGTAGCCGTCTCTTCTACTCCAATAGCTTCTTGTCTCGCACCTCTCGCCCGTGGAACTCCTTTCCCTATTCCAGTTTCCCTGAGAGCTATAATCTCCAACTATTCAAATGTAATGTCAATCGACATCTCCAGTTGCCTTGATCTATCCACTACCCTTCTCCTCATCCTTTCTTCTATCACTCCTATCTGATCTTGTTCCAAATTTTCTGTAACTCCTTGCGTCCTTGTGGCTTCCCGCCTTGCTTGGGGTGAAACGCTTAAAAAAAAAAAAACATACATACATACATTTTGAGAATTATAGATATAGATTGTGAGTCATTTAAAGCCGTTATCTATTTCGAATTGTAAGAATAATTTTATTTTTTGTAGATGAATATTGCATTAACAATGATTTAAGAAAAAGATTCAGATACAATTACTACTATTTAATCTATAGCAGGCGGTGGTGAAGGGATGGATTCATAGCTTTCGCAAGCGTATTTACTTGTAAGTGTTATAGTGGAACACACCTATTCTATAGTTAATAGACTCTCCCACCTATAATAAGTACGAGTAGTAAGAGTAACAAGTCAGTCGCTCAGTAGGTTCGGTCAGTGAGTCGATGCCGGACGACCGTTAGTCGGATATTAAAGTATCAGCGACTACAACTAGATTTCTCTTCGTCATTACCTATTATATCAAGTTCCTAACGTTTTGTACGTCGAACCTATTTTAGGACCGACTTAGTACAAATACAAGCCTCCACTGTGAAACCACTCCATAACAGTAAGTGAATCTAAGAAACTCGTTTGGAATTCGGATTAAGGTCTCCAATTTCTCATTATGAGTCGTTTAAGCATACGAACAGGAAATGAGTTAAGTAATTACGCAAAAATAAAAAAAAAAATGAGTATAGGACAAGTATGAGTCTTCTCGCCAGAACATTTCAGCCTCTACAGCGAAGCCATTCCGAGAGAATTAGAAGTCCTACCAGAATTCATTATTAGCCGCCACAATCTGAACAATCTAAGACATGAAGATGACACGTTATTGATAGCAGACAGAGAAGGGAAACTACAAAAATTCCTACAGAATACCGTGACGAAAAACGAAAAGAAAGGACAAAACATAAATTGCAAGAAGACTGAATGTTAGAAAAAGGGACAGACCAACAGGTAAATTTCAGATTGGAGATACCGATATCAGCCAGGTGAGAAGATTTAGATATATGGGAAGCGTATTAACTGCGGACCGAAAGTGCGATACAGAAAACCAAAGGCGGACTGGGATAGCAAAAGATGCCTTCCAAAAGCTGAGCAAAGTATTAAGAAACAGAAAAAAATATCGTTACAAAGAAGGAAAAGAAAAATGAACTATTTTATAGTATCAGTCCTCCTATAGGGTAGTAAATACTGGGAATATCCTCACAAACGAATAGGCTTGAAGCAACAGAATTTTTTCTACAGAAGTATGCTGAGGATACCATGGAACGATCATGCGAGCAACGACAAAGTTCTAGAGACAACAAAAACAAAATGACGCTTATACTTAACATCTTTAAGAGATAGTTGAAATTTCTGGGGCACAATTAGTTAAGAGGGCTTGGGAATGCTTCTTTTTTTTTTTTGCTCACAGGATAAATTGAAGTGGGGGTCCAAATGTCGATGTTAGACGAACCTGGCAAACATTAAATCTGAAGAAGTGACAATGGCCAAGACAAGGAGGACGAAAACAAGGAGTTCAGATAGAATATGCCAAAATGTATTATCGGCAGAAAAAAGGAAAATACGATCTAAGAATCCGGATGTTTCAAATGCCCTGGATGGCCGTGCTTGTAGTTGATTGTTGGTCTTAGATGGGACAACAGTTGATGATGACCGAAGCAACTCGAGTGGTGCTGGAGTTTGATATTTGGCGTATTGAGTTGGAAATAGCTGGGATCCCTGTGGCTGATAAGTAGATATACTTGACCCCACACCGCTGTCGGGTTTTCACACAAGGTCATTTTTTAACGTGGAGACTCGAGTGTTTTCACTTGGGCCGCTGATCCAAGCTGGCCATAGCTGGTCATAGCTTGTCCAAGCTGGTCAGAGCTGTCTAAGCTAGTCAGAGCCAATCGAAGCTAATCGTAGCTGTGATATTACTAGCACAGGGACGGATCCCTGTGCCAGGTAAGTGTGATGTACTTGACCCCCCATTGAATCAGGTTGTGACATAAGGACAGTTTTTAACGTGGGATCCGAGTGTTTTAACTCTGGCCGCTGGTATAAGCTGGTCATAGCTTTTCCAAGCTGGTCAGAGCTGGTCTAAGCTAGTCATAGCTGGTCTTGGCTTATAGCTGGTCAGAGCCGGCCCAAGCTAGTCGTAGCCGGAATACGGAGCCCTGTGCCAGGTAAGTGAGATTTACTTGACCCCCAACTGAGTTAGGTTGTGACACAAGGTCAGTTTTTGACGTGGAGACCTGAGTGTTTTCACTCGGGCCGCTGGTCTATGATGGTCTTAGTTTGTCTAAGCTGGTCATAGCTAGTCCAAGCTAGTCGATGCCGTGATAACACCATCACAGAGACGGAGCCCTATGCCAGATAAGTGAGATTTACTTGACCCCAACTGAGTCAGATTGTGACACAAGGTCAGGTTTTAACGTGGGGACCTGATAAAACAAAATATTACCAGCAATACATTTTTTAAAATAATATTACCAGTTATAAGTTTTTGAGGAAAAAAATATTACCAGAAATAGATTTTTGACAAAACAAAATATTACCAGCAATACATTTTTTTAAATAATATTACCAGTTATACATTTTTGAGGAAAAAAATATTACCAGAAACAGATTTTTGACAAAACAAAATATTACCAGCAATAAAAAATTTTTTCGCCATTAAATGATATGCCGTAAAACAAAATAACCAAGCAAGCAAGCAGGCACAGATTAACGATAGGCTGTGTTTGTAAATATCACGAAGGCGTTTGACATGGTTTGTCATGTTGTACTTCTTTACAAGCTCAAGTGCCATGTTATCTTCAGCAGAATATTTGACTTAATTCAATCATTCTTAACAAATCATTTTAAAGGGGCATGGCCGAACTTACGTTTTTTAAAAATCTTGATTTTATTTTTTGTATGCATGATTCTTTCTTTTCTTCAGCAGTTACAAAATGTTTTGTCCCAAGAAAAAAAACCCTGTTTCACCAGGTACTCAAGATCGGTTCTGCGATAGCAACTTTTTGCGTGGATATATTCGTATCTATACGTGATCGAATTTGACCTCACTTTCCAGCTATTGTCAGATAATGGCTTTCCAAATTGACCTGCCTTGTTTGGTTCTAAGTAACTTTTGAGCCCTATTAATTCGTAGCGAACTTTCAACCAAACTCGCTTAGTAGGTTCCTCGCTATTTGTCTTTGCTTGTCTTGTAAGTGATACATTTTCTAAGCCTTC